GGAGACAACATTAACACTGAAATCCCACTCAACTGGATACCTTCACTTAACACACCAGCTAGAGACAACACACACTGAGACTCTACCTTAACTAGATACCTCACTTAACACACCAGTTAGAGACAACATTAACACTGGAGACTCTACCTTAACTAGATAATTCTTCATTTAACACACCCAGTTAGAGACAACATTAACACTGAGACTCTACCTAACTAGATACCTTCACTCTAACATACCAGTTAGGAGACAACATTAACACTGAGACTCTACCTTAACTAGATACCTTCACTTAACACACCAGTTAGGAGACAACATTAACACTGAGACTCTACCTTAACTAGATACCTTCACTTAACACACCAGTTAGAGACAACATTAACACTGGAGACCTCTACTCTTAATCTCGATACCTTCACTTAACACAATTAAAGTTAGAGACAACATTAACACTGAGACTCTACCTTAACTAGATACCTTCACTTAACACACCAGTTAGAGACAAATATTAACACTGGTTCCTACCTTAACTAGATACCTCTCACTTCAACACACCAGTTAGAGACAACATTAACACTGGAGACTCTGTACCCTAACTAGATACCTCTCACTTAACACACCAGTTAGGGAGACAACATTAACACTGAGACTCTACCTTAATCCAGATAATTCTCTCACTCTAACACAATTCAGTTAGGAGACAACATTAACACTGAGACTCTACCTAACTAGATACCTTCACTTAACACACATCAGTTAGGAGACAACATTAACACTGAGACTCTACCTTAACTAGATACCTCTCCACTTCCTAACACACCAGTTAGAGACAACATTAACACTGAGACTACCTTAACTGGATACCTCTCACTCTAACACACCAGTTAGGAGACAACATTAACACTGGAGACTCTACCTTAACTAGATACCTTCACTTAACACACCAGTTAGACAACACACACTGGAGACTTACCTTAACTAGACAATTCACTTTCAACACATCAGTTAGGAGACAACATTAACACTTGAGACTCTACCTTAACTAGATACCTCTCACTTAACACAATTCAGTTAGGAGACAACATTAACACTGAGACTCTACCTTTAATCCAGATACCTTCACTTAACACACCAGGAGACAACATTAACACTGAGACTCTACCTTAACTGGAGCACTTGAATTTTCAACACACTAGTTAGAGACAACATTAACACTGAGACTCTACCTCCCTTAACTAGATAATTCTTCACTCTAACACACCAGTTAGAGACAACATTAACACCGGGAGACCTAATTCCTTAACTAGATACCTTCACTTAACACAATTCAGTTAGGAGACAAACAGTAACACTGAGACTCTACCTTAACTAGATACCTTCAATTTCAACACACCAGTTAGGAGACAAATATTAACACTGAGACTTACCTTAACTAGAGATACCTTCCACTTAACACACCAGTTAGGAGACAACATTAACACTGAAACTCTACCTTAACTGATACCTTCACTTAACACACTCAAAGTTAGAGACAATTAACACTGAGACTCTACCTTTAACTAGATAATTTCACTTAACACACCAGTTAGAGACAACATTAACACTGGTATCTTACCTTAACTAGATACTCTCATTTAACACACCAGTTAGGAGACACATTAACACTGGAGACTCTACCTAACTAGATACCTTCTACTTAACAACACACCAGTTAGAGACAACATTAACACTGAGACTCTACCTAACTAGATACCTTCACTCTAACACACCAGCTAGGAGACAACATTAACACTGAGACTCTACCTAACTAGATAATTTTCACTTAACACACCAGTTAGGAGACAATATTAACACTGAGACTCTACCTTAACTGGATACCTTCACTTAACACACCAGTTAGGAGACAAATATTAACACTGAGACTCTACTCCTAATCTAGATAATTTCACTTAACATACACCAGTTAGAGACAACATTAACACTGAGACTTACCTTAACTAGATACCTTCACTTAACACACCAGTTAGGAGACAACATTAACACTGAGACTCTACCTTTAACTGGATACTCTCTTCACTAACATACACCAGTTAGGAGACAACATTAACACTGAGACTCTACCTTAACTAGATACCTTCACTTAACACACCAGTTAGAGAATGATTAACACTGAGACTTACCTTAACTAGATACCTCTTACTTAACACACTGTTAGAGACAACATTAACACTGAGACTCTGTACCTTAACTAGAGTAATTTCACTTAACACACCAATAGGAGACAACATTAACACTGAGATTCTTACCTAACTGATACCTTCACTTAACACTACCCAGTTAGGAGACAACATTAACACTGAGACTTACCTAACTAGATACCTCTCACTTAACACACACACCAGTTAGGAGACAACATTAACACTGAGATTCTCTACCTTAACTAGATACCTTTCACTTAACACACCAAAGTTAGGAGACAAGATTAACACTGAGACTTCTACCTTTTAACTAGATACTCCTCTACTTAACACATCAGTTAGAGACAACATTAACACTGAGACTCTACCTTAACTAGATACCTTCACTTAACACACCAGTTAGGAGACAACATTAACACTGAGACTCTACCTTAACTAGATACCTCTATTTAACACACCAGTTAGGAGACAACATTAACACTGAGACTCTACCTTAACTAGACAATTTCAATTTCAACACACCAGTTAGAGACAACATTAACACTGAGACTCTACCCAATCCAGATACCTCTTACTTAACACACCAGTTAGGAGACAACATTACACTGAGACTCTACCTTAACTAGATACCTTCACTTAACACACCACAGTTAGAGACAACATTAACACTGAGACTCTACTCCAATTAGATACTCTCACTTAACACACCAGTTAGAGACAACATTAACACTGGAGACTCTACTCCACAGATACCTCACTCCTAACACACCAGTTAGAGACAACATTAACACTGAGACCTCTACCTTAACTAGATACCTTCACTTAACACCAGTTAGGAGACAACATGACACTGAGACTCTACCTTAACTAGATACTTTCATTTAACACCAGTTAGGAGACAACATTACACTGAGACTCTACCTTAACTAGATACCTTCACTTAACACCAGTTAGGAGACAACATTAACACTGAGACTCTACCTTAACTAGATACCTTCACTTAACACACCAGTTAGGAGACAACATTAACACTGAGACTCTACCTTAACTAGATACCTTCACTTAACACAACCAGTTAGGAGACAACATTAACACTGAGACTCTACCTTAACTAGATACCTTCACTTAACACACCAGTTAGGAGACAACATTAACACTGAGACTCTACCTTAACTAGATACCTTCACTTAACACACCAGTTAGGAGACAAAATTAACACTGAGACTCTACCTTAACTAGATACTAGATACTTCACTTAACACACCAGTTAGGAGACAACATTAACACTGAGACTCTACCTTAACTAGATACCTTCACTTAACACACCAGTTAGGAGACAACATTAACACTGAGACTCTACCTTAACTAGATACCTTCACTTAACACACCAGTTAGGAGACAACATTAACACTGAGACTCTACCTTAACTAGATACCTTCACTTAACACACCAGTTAGGAGACAACATTAACACTGAGACTCTACCTTAACTAGATACCTTCACTTAACACACCAGTTAGGAGACAACATTAACACTGAGACTCTACCTTAACTAGATACCTTCACTTAACACACCAGTTAGGAGACAACATTAACACTGAGACTCTACCTTAACTAGATACCTTCACTTAACACATCAGTTAGGAGACAACATTAACACTGAGACTCTACCTTAACTAGATACCTTCATTTAACACACCAGTTAGGAGACAACATTAACACTGAGACTCTACCTTAACTAGATACCTTCACTTAACACACCAGTTAGGAGACAACATTAACACTGAGACTCTACCTTAACTAGATACCTTCACTTAACACATCAGTTAGGAGACAACATTAACACTGAGACTCTACCTTAACTAGATACCTTCATTTAACACCAAATAATCTACTTGAACTCTCATAACTTATTACCTAAATAAGTAGATAATTCTCACCTATAAATTCCAGGTACAGACTTAATTATACCTTATAATGTAGAATTGTTGTGTCTGAATTCCAGTGTTAAATTCCCAGCCTGGACGACCATAACAAATATATACCCTGTAATTTTCATCTATTCCAAGCTATAAATTCTGTTTTACTTTTGTGGGGGTTTTTATTTTATTTCCAGAATCCTTCTTTAAATGCCATACAATAAATTCTCAAGCGTAATGTCTTTTCTTAACATTCCATGCATTAATTTCTAAGTAACTTCACTTGTATAGTGTGTATTTCTTTGTTTTAAATATACAATAAACTATCACTGTGTATTATAATTCTGATTTTTAATACCATATAGTAATTTATGTATTAGAAGTGTAAAATAATTCCTATCCGTTATACACGTCTGGGGAACACTGCTCCCTCATCTGACGGACTACATGCAGAGGAAAGTATATTATATGGAAGGTCCGTTAGATATGAAGCCTCCATCTATTGAACTATATAGAGATGCAAGTCCGTTATATCGAGGTTCCGTTATATGGAGGAGTACAGTGTGACTCAATGGTGTACAGTGTGACTCAATGGTGTACAGTGTGACTCAATGGTGTACAGTGCGACTCAATGGTGTACAGTGTGACCCAATGGTGTACAGTGTGTGTAAATGGTATACATTGTGACTCAATCGTATATGTCACCAATTCTTACTTATTCACCACAATCATCATCGTCACCATCTCACCATTATCATCATCATCATCACTATCACCACCAATAGGCCCGCTGCAGTTTCCTCCATTCTTATGTTATCACCATCATCACCATAATCATAAGTGTCAATAATTCATAATAGTAGTTTGGAAAAGTAAAAAAGTTGTTTAAGGTTTGATAACTTTATTTCTTATACAAATGTTGTGTACAGTATGGTAGGTGGGCGGGGAGCCGCACCACCTCATGAGAATTGGTGTTGCAAAAGTTTGTCCAGATCACTAGAGTCGACAATCTCTTCCCTTATGTACAATATTTCAAACTTAAGACACAATAAACAGTGCGTCAGCAGCACTATACTCGTCCCAGTTCCGTTCACCATCCCCCCAAAAAAAAAAATAATATACTCCAAAAGTTAATGTGTGCAAGACACACCTCAGGAACTCTTTACAATACCAGACAACTTGATGAGCAAATACTATGATATATAAGAAATATACAGTGGAAAATATAATCTTTTTGAAGAGCAACTTCCTAAAGTCAGTTCTACCCAAGTGTCATTCGCCTCAATAAAGTGCTACACTACTTAATTAAATGTGTCACTTTTTTAACATTATTGACACTGTAAAGTATAAGTGTGTAGCAGCAGCAGCGAAAGACAGACAAATACAAACAATTTCTTGGAGTGTGAAGATTTATGTGTCCTTAAAAGATAAATTATATAATTCTTTTGTTGACTAATAACTGTGTTGAAGAGGAGGTGAAAGGAGAGGAGGAAGCAGAGATGGAAGAAGAGGAGGTGGAAGTAAAAGAAGAGATGAAAGAAGATGAGAAGAAAGAAGAGGACATGATGGAAGAGGAGGGGGAGGTGTGTGTGGATACCAGTGGTAAGAGCTGGACTAGGGGGTGGGGCAGGTAGCCTCTGAGACTCTCTAGGACCCTTAAAGACTCTCTACGAGCCTTAAGGACTCTCTAGAACCCTTAAGGACTCTCTAAGACCTTTAAGGGTTTTATAGGGACCTAAAGGAGTCTGTAGGACCCTGCCACCATGGTAGTAACACCGCCAGGGACTCACAGTAACACGGGTCCTCCTTTTTGACTAACTTGGTTAAGTTTCTCAATATGAGAAACTTAATAATTCATGGGGCGTAGAGGAGGCCGTGCTGGGGGGGGGGGGGGTTAAGACTACAAGTTATCACAATGTCCTTCACAGACCGAGTGAAACAGACAGGTACAGGAAGGACTGTACCTCGTGGTGGGAGACTGTCTCAAGACTGTCTCGTTGTGAGAGACAGTCACGTGGTTTGAGATGGTCTCTCGTCTTGGCTAACCCAAATTCAGCACCTTCAGTATCCTCCCGCCCAGACAGGGGGCAGGAGGTGAGGGGTGATATATACTACAGTAGCAAGTTGTGACTACAAGCTGTCCCTCACCACCTAACATATTGTGGCACTGTCAGCGTGACCACGGGCACTGTTGAGAGGGCCGGGGAGTGAGCTGAGTGGCCCTCTCGTTAGCTGCTGCTATGGGGACCCCGTGCCGACAGCGGGGCCCCCGTGGGAGGTCCTACTCAAGTGGAGGACGACCTAGCTGACTACCTGCATCACGACCACATCATTAATATATTCCAGCTGGCAAGTATCTCACTACTTTACACAGTAATAAAACAATAATATTAGGAGTACTGGTGTAGGAGCGTGCAGTGTGGCCAGCGTGGGTCCGCGGGAGGGAGTAAAGGAAAGGGGCAGGCGGACGGGCGGCCAGGCAGGGAGGCAGGCAGGCAGGGAGGGAGGGTCACAAACACTTGGAATGGTGGTGCAAGTGATAAAGACAGCCTGGCCGCCCCCTCCCGCAAGGACGCTGGCTGTCATGGTCGCGTTAAGCCAAGAAGGTAAACTGAACACATCACGCTCAACACTCCTTACGAGTCTTTAAAAGGCCAACAAAAATAATCTGTATAAACCTGCTAATTCTTGGTTGGAGTTATATACAGAACACAAACCTAAGAGCTAATGATAATGAATATGATGACATCCTAAAGTAAGAGATATTAGGTGCCTTGGGTGGCGTGGGTGTGTGTGTCGCGGCTATCTGGCCCACCCGAATGCATCATCACACTGTTCAAAGTCGCCGTAGCTTTTATGTTGAGTTACACAGCATCAGCATAGTAGTGGAGGGAGTGTAGCTGATGACTGTTCATGTGTTCGAGGAATGACGAGGTTGTTGGATCTGCTGAAGGGCTTCCTGCGTCGCGTACTGCCGCAGCACTGTGTTCTCGTACTCCAGCTGGGAGATTCGCTCCATCAACTCGGTGATCTTCTCCTTGAGCACCTCCACCTCTTCCCTCACGGCGAACATCAAGTGGGACTTGACCAAATCCTGAAGCAAAATTAACCTGTGTTAGTTGGGTTAGGCTAAGCTACCTCTACTGCCTATGATAGTTATTGTAATTGTGCCTAAAATACACTATGAAGAATCACCACATATAACGTTAAACAATGTAACACTACTTGAGGGTAGGGTAGTCTTGAGGTGAAATAAGCTGGGCTGTTTATTCTTCAGGAGATCTAAACTACTTATTAATTAAACCTAAAATACTCTACTTACTAAATCACCTTAACTATTACTACAACACAGACAGACACTTAGAGTACTTTTAAACAACTCCAGCTTTAACTTACAAAGCTTTATATAATTCTTATAATTAATTATCTTAAAATACGTATCGACGGTTCCTCCTTAAAATATAACAATCTTTAAATACCTAAAATATTTCCTTAAGTATATACCAGTTCCAGTCTTTATCAACTAAGACAATTCCTTTCATAATAGTCACGTCTCATCCGTAAATCCTTAAAATTAAAGTAATTTCTCCTTTTAACACAAGTCACACCTCTAAAACATCCCTTAAGTAAACAACAAACACTTCTTATAAGTTTCAGTAGTTCATCTTTAAACTCCAAGTCTTATATACCTTTAAAAATTCCTTAAAATTAAACGAAAATTTATCTTTAAAAAAATATAACTAAAATTGAAGCAAAACATTAACCTCAATATAAGGATGACGTCATAGTTTCTCTGGTTAAGAACTGAAGGTCACCGTAAGTTCAGAGGTCAACTTCAGCCTTCAGGCAACCTCTCCGTCCTTTGTCTTTGAGGGTGATGTTTTAACCCCTTGAGGATGATGGTCTAACCCCTTGAGGATGATGGTCTAACCCCTTGAGGATGATGGTCTAACCCCTTGAGGATGATGGTCTAACCCCTTGAGGATGATGGTCTACCCCTTGAGGATGATGGTCTAACCCTTTGAGGACGATGGTTTAACCCCTTGAGGACGATGTTTTAACCCCTTGAGGATGATGGTCTAACCCCTTAAAGACGATGGTTTAACCCTTTGAGGACGATGGTTTAACCCCTTGAGGACATGATTTAACCCTTTGAGGACGAGGGTTTAACCCCTTGAGGACGATGATTTAACCCTTTGAGGACGAGGGTTTAACCCCTTGAGGACGATGGTTTAACCCCTTGAGGACGATGGTTTAACCCCTTGAGGATGATGGTCTAACCCTTTGAGGACGATGGTTTTAACCCTTTGAGGACGATGGTTTAACTCCTTGAGGACGATGATTTAACCCTTGAGGACGAGGTTTAACCTTGAGGACGATGATTTAACCTTTGAGGACGATGGTTTAACCCTTGAGGACGATGATTTAACCCTTTGAGGACGATGATTTAACCCTTTGAGGACGATGGTTTAACCCTTTGAGGACGATGGTTTAACCCCTTGAGGACGATGGTTTAACCCTTTGAGGACGATGGTTTACCCCTTTGAGGACGATGGTTTAACCCCTTAAGATCAACCATCTAAAGTGTTAATATAAATCTACATAAACATATAACACTGTCTACCTAAGTTTATAAAACTACTTAAGTGTATCTGGTGGTGGTGGGTGGTGGGGGTGGGTGTGATGGGGGTGTGGGGGGTGGTGGGGTGGTGGTGGCTGGGTAGTGGTGGGGTGGGTGGTGGTGGGTGGTGGTGGTGTGGTGGGGTGGTGGTGGCTGGTGGTGTGGTGGTGGCTGGGGTGGGTGGTGGGGGGTGGGTGGGGGTGGTGGTGGTGGGTGGTGGTATGGGGGGGTGGTAGTGTGGTGGGTAGTAAGTGGTGGTGGTGGTGGTGGTGTGTGTGGGTGGTGTTGGTAGGTGGTTGTTGTGGTGGTGGGTGTGTGTGGTGGTATGTGGTTATGGTGATGTGGTGGTGTGTGTGTGTGGTGGTGTGTGGTGGTGTGTGTGGTAGTATGTGGTGGTGGTATGTGGTGGTGGTGGCTGAGTATTGGCACAGGTTGAGCTCTACCAATGGAAGTTTATTTCAGGACTATGGCTGCCACCTCCCCCCCCCTCTCTCATGTCCCAGCACCTTCCTTCCCTCCCTCCCTCTCCACCTACACCCTCCCTCTCTCCACCACCATCACCACCACCAGGATCAACCTACAGTACGTGTGGTGGTCGTCTAATAAGTTGCTCTCTCTCTCTCTCTCGTCGTCGTGGGTGGGAGGAAGACCAGGCAGGGTGTGTCGGGGTCGGGGCCAGGGGGTTGGGGGGCTCCCTCCCTCACTGATCAATATCTAAGACTGTACACTTGTTCCCGTAACCTTTGGTGGTGGTATAGCGAATTCCTCTCTCTCTCTCTCTCTCCTTGCAATACACACAGTGAAAATCTCACTAATCTCACTAATCTATCCACTAAACATAAATTCCTTTTTTTTAACTAACCTTCCCACGCTCCTAATTACCTCACCCGACCAACAGCTCTCACACCTTACTGGAAGGTGTTTCATATAACAAGTATAACAAACTACAACAAAAATTTAAACAAACGAAAGATAAAGAATAACTGACGACTCCCGTAAGTTGTTGCTAGTTGACTTAGCAAGATAATAGGGTAGTATTGGAGAAGCCTCACTGAAATAATCAACAAAACTGTATACCTGTTCTAAACTAACCTATGTTGTGCTTGATGAACTAATGTTACTCAGTGTATGTGTGTGTACTTGGGGTAAACAAAACGTCCCAAGATGCTACGTAGTCAGGTAAACAACAGACTAAAATAAGTACGTACGTGCAGACAGACAAACAGGTCAAGACAGGTAACTTACAAAGTCTGGGACGAAGAACAGGAACTGCTCGTCCGTTAATCTCACATCGTAAACAAAGGAATTTTTTCTGCTTCTGGAACTTGGCATTGAGGATTTGGTGGGCGTGGATGATAGCGGCGTGTGGGCGGGCGTGTGTGTGGGCGTACTTTTGGGCGTGGTCATGGGTGATTCTGGAGGTGAGAGAGATGGCGAGGAGGTGTAGTCGACGCTGGAGTACTGTGTCCCCACGTACTCTGGCTGTGAGTACTCGTGTTGGTTGAACTGGGACTCTGAACAACTGGAGAATGTGGGCGTCCTGGACATTTCTTGTGTGGGCGTGGCGGGCGGCGTTATGGGCCCGTGTCCGACAATATCCATCCCGGAGTGAGGGTATTCACACTGTAGGGCGTCCATCTTCATAGTTACAGGCGCCGTGGCGGTCAATCTTGTGGGACAAACTCTATAGCGAGTGGCACCTTTCCTTCCTCACAGGCACTCACAAAGGCACTTAAATCTCTCACACTGAGGCGCTTAATTCTTCACGAGGGGCTACACTATCCACTACCACTATCCAGGCGGCGAGGATACACCGTAGACTTCTTCAGGATAATTCTGTCCTTGTGTGTGCACAAGCTCTGCGGGGTCTGTACACGAGTGCGTCTAGAGCTCGACTGGTCCCTCTCCAGGTCGCTCTGCCTTATATGACCAAGACGCGCGCACACACACACGCGCGCGCGCCACCTCGAGCCGTCGCGCTGAGTTGCCACACATATGAACATACATCAACCAGATGCCTGGCTGGCTGGGCGCCCACACACACCTGTGCGCCTCTTCCTCTAATTTTTACCAAGAACTGCTGCAGCGGCTCATTGTCTTGTGCAGCAGCAACCAGTCGGGACGGTTATATCCTGATCCAGCAACTACCATGTTTTTGCCCTTCCCTCCCTACACTCCCTCCCTCTCTACACATCCGCTCTACAAACCCACCCTCTCTGCATATACGGACTCAACACCTAGCCCCCCCCCCCACACACACACTAACTTTGATATAAAAAATGTTTATTTAGCGAGAAAAATAGAGATAGTGTTGAGAAGAACAACAAGGCTGAACCAAGTGATAGTCTGAGTCGTCTTAGCGCCACCCCATAGTATTATACTGTATGCCTGTATACATACACCCAGCCTGTATATACACACACACACACAGCATGTATACATACACCCAGCCTATACACACACACACAGCCTGTATACACCCCCCACAACCATTGTAAAAATTATCAATAACTTGTAATAAATCAGTGTATTCACTCCCAGTAAACACTGCTCCTTACACTGTCACTATGTTGAAATGAACTGTAGTTTGAGCTTTTCCACATCTAGTTATTATATATCTTATTTGTGTCACTTATGTTACTTGTATATTATTTGTAATTCGTAACCCATTCCCCAAATATGTAACTGTATATTTTCAGCCTTCTGGCTGCCAAGCTCTTTCAATAAACCGTTAATTATTATTATTATTATTATTATTATTATTATTAGAACCAAAAGAAAGGATAAATTTTACCCTCAATATTCAGGGTAACTAATACAGGGTCATATTATGGTCCCTTACATCAGCCCCTGAGACAATGGCTGACCTCATGGTCCCCTAAACTAGTAAACTGACTGGCCGAAGGCCCTGATAATATGGTCTTCAAAAATCTCTCTCAGGTAATAAGTGGACCACAGAGGCAAGGTAACGCGGAATGTTACTCTCTCACTCATGTCCTCCGGTAGCTGACCGCCTCCAGTGACTCTCCTGCAGGTTAAGTTGATCCCCGTCAGACGCAGTACCTCTCCTGGGTGACCTACTTACTGCGCCACCCCACACTGAATGACGCGGCGTCTACCTTATTGATCCTTAGTTACAGTACGTAAGCTATCTTTGGCTGGGGTGTGGCCTCACAAGGGTCGACTAGGGGAGCCCAGCATCATCTACTTAAACACGATTCCCTCAACTTAAAGCCCATAACACTAAACATACACCTACATCTTACACCCACACCTTCACCTTACACCCACAACTTCATCTTACACCCACACCTTCACCTTATACTCAATACACCTTCACCTTACACACACACCTTCATCTTACACCCACTACACCCACACCTTCATCTTGCACCCACTACACCCACACCTTCACCTTATACTCAATACACCTTCACCTTACACCCACACCTTCATCTTACACCCACACTTTC